CCCGGCCCACCTTGAGATAATTTTAAAAAAGGTCAAACTATATTGCTTAAAAGGAAACAAAGTATATAATACAACGTAAATTTTTCCACAAGAAGTATAGCTAAAATAAGAATCTTCACATATAATACCTTATTTCCCAACATTAGATAAATGAGACGTTCCTACAGACCTAAAGCAGAAAGTCAATTTTTGAGAGCATGGAATGATAATGATAGACTTCACTGCCTCACCCTGTATTTGCTTCTGTCCTCTTCACACATTCATAATTTCATATTCCTTGGCCTCCTTTTATAATGTACCCAAATTAGCACCCTCTCCTCTAAAGGAGTTGGTACCTTGTCAGAAAGTGCAGACCTCAAACACACACCAAAGCTCAATGTCTCTTTTCTGCATCAGCCTCCATTTCTTATCTCATACTGGGATGGCAGATGCACCTGCAAGATTCTTTAGGTCCAGAGATAGGCATTTCTTCTTTGTTACTGGTAAGAAAGACCAAGTTGGAGGTGAGATCGTTGCATTATGTTCTCTTCTAGGCAGCTCTAGCAGTCATGTTGACATTATAAGTTGGTCAGAAGCTGGTTTCGATAGCAAAGTAAGGCCTTTTGTTCTGCACCCCAGACCCACGTTAACAAATTCATTAGTCCTTCAGGATTACAGAGGCAGCTAAGGGAAGGAAAAGAGGGAGAGATATAGGTGTGCAAGGAGGAGCTGTTGGAGAAGCACTCCAGGGCATAACTCCCCTCTCCCATCCACAATATAAGGGACAAGAAGGACAGTTAGGGTCAATGCTATTGGCATGGCTATTACTAAAAGCCCTAAGTTCCTCTATTGATGCAAAAACATTGGCTACCAATCCACTTGCTCAGTTAGCCTAGCCAGAGCAGGCTGCAGAAGCTGCACCTGACCAGAGCTTGCGCAGGCTGCTCCCAGGCTACAGGTGGCTAGAATACCGTACAATCACAGAATCGAAATCGCTAGAGAGCTCCAGCAAATAACTCACCTCAACAGCTTATTTTCAACGGGAATATGAAACACATTTTCTTGGCTTTTCTTCTGACAAAAAGAGGAACTAAACAATTTAGTATATACACTAGAATATTTCCCCTTCCCTTATACTGTTTTCCATTTATTCATTCAACTGACAAATATTTCCTGCCCATCTACTATGTACTAGGTACTGTTAGGTGCGGAGTGAAAAGTACACCAATTATAACCATTACAACAAACTGTAGGGCCTCATTGTAACTGTGCTCCCCACCCCAATTCACAAAACCACCTGGCACTTAGTCCCAGAGTGACCTGACATTCAGAAGACTGTCTCCTTTTTATGGTTTGCAACTGCAACCACAGAATACAAAAAGCAGCCTCCTGCTTCTGTTATGAGATTGTAGCAATCACCAAGAGACAACCACTGTGGTTAGCTATTTTAAAAAGTTATTAATTCAAGAGCTGAAGTATCTGGCTTTAGGATTTACATCATTGAAATGATAGTTACACAAAGTGTAGGAAGGTGAAGTCTGCCCTGAACGTAAAGAAACCAAAGAAAATTTAGGTTCAGAGGAGAGGAAAAGCAGAAACTTTAAGGCTGTGTGAAAGAGTTGGAATCTACAAATGAAAATTAACAGAACGCACTAAAACTCAAGGAATTATCAACTTAAAATAAATGTATGCTGTAAAGGATTACGAAAAGTAAAGATGATAGAAACAGTGAGCTGTTTGTTCCCTAATCCAAAGTACCCAAAGTGAAAAGCAGGGCATGTGTTTTCATTCATTCACCAAAATATAGCTATTTTTCTACTACTCCTAGAGGAACAAATACAACAAACTAATGTCATATTTTCACCAGCCAGAGTAAGAAAGCTGTGAACCCCAAGATTTCTTTATCATCTTTTACCTTCTTCCATATTTATCACTGCACTTTGTTGTGAGTGAGGCTGAGAATCTGAATCACTTGTGTGCCCTTTCCCCTCCTTTGATAAGCAGTTTCAAATATGAAACACCCTCCTGATGGCTGATTCCACTGTATGGTTCTACGGGCCAAAGTCTTACAAACTTTAGAAAAGTTATTAATTTAACACAAAACATTAATTTAATTTTAAATCTACCTTAGATTGGTTATGAGTCTGGGCAAATAATGTGGCAGCTTTAACACCTGTACCTCAGTTTCTTAAAGAGACATGTCCTGATAATAAATCATCTACGTGGAAATGCTCTAAGCTTAGCTCAAAGGTCCTGTATAAACTCAAGGAATGTCTGTCATACATAAGCACACAGGTCTCTAACTCAATTTTTAGAAATCAACCCCAGGGAAATTTAGGCTAGAATTTAGGACACAAAGAGGATAGGCATGGTTAGTTAATAAACGGCAGTCTTAACTTTCCCAGATTACAGATTTATGAAGTCCAAAAATTTAAAAGCCAAAACACCCCACATTCCTACCTCCTTTCCAAGGTGAGAAATCAAACCTCCACAGGGAAAGCGGCTGGATGAGGATACCGAGCCTTGGCTCTAGACCCAAGTTGCAGCACCAAGCATCTCTCCTCTTCCCCAATTATGCACTCCTTACCCATCCCGATGGTGACATGGCCTTTAAAGGGGCTAATTCCATAATGACCGACCATGTCCCATCCCCTCCACTTTCCCTCCAATCCATCTTTCTACCCCGTCTCTCCCTATGCATAGGACTAGCACGTAACAGAAGCCTGACTGGAATGAATCTCTCATCAGACCCCACAATCGAAGACGCAGCTTGACAACTGTTCACATTCATCACTAATGGCAACGTTTCGGTTAGCTCCTACTCGCCGGGCCGTCACACCCGGAAATGAAATCTCAAGCGCGACCCACTTGGGACTACCACATTTCCTTAAGTTGTGCCCCACGACAAGCGCCTGGCGCACGACCCCGAAGAGAGCGCGGGCCCCTGGGCACGGCCGCCACCGCCTCCCGCCTCCCGCCTCCCGCCTCCGGCCTGCAGGTCACTCGCGCTTCCCGGCCGCCAGGCGGGCGCGGTAGGGACGCGGCGCGCGCGCGCTCTTCCCTGGGCCCCCGCACCCGGCGCTCGGCGGAACGCAGGGCGGCACCCGGGCCAGTCGCCTCTGGGGACCGCGCACGGGGACCAGAGATGGTCACTAGAAGGAACCCGGGTGGCCCCAGGTAAGGCCCGCGCCTCAGGTGGGCCGGGGAGGCGGCAGCTGAGGCCGCGTCCCTTCAGCCGCTACCACACGCCGGGACACGCGGCCCCGGCTGGTCTCCGTAGCAGCCACGGGCCCTCGCCCGGGACCCGCCCGCGGCCGCTCGCGGAACGCTCAGGACACCGGTGCCCAGCCCCTCAGGGAGGCGCCCCGCCCCGGCGCGCGCCACGCACCGCGCCCCGCCCGCGTGCCGGTCCGCATTTTCCCGCCCGCCGCGCCGGGGGCGGGGGTCGCGCGCCCTCCCCCGCCCCCGCGCCGCTCACCTGTCGGGCCCTAGGCTCGCTCCATGGCCGCCCGCACGGTGCGGTGCGGCGCGGCCCCGGCCGCCCCCGCCACCTCCGGGGAGGGGCAGCCCCACGCCGCGCTCACCGCCCCCAGCCGCCGCCGCCACTGCGGCTCCCGCCCACCCTCGGCCCGGCCATTCCGCGGCCACCTCGGCCCGCGCAGAGCCGGCGGTCCCACACCCACCCCCGCCTCCGCGCCCCCGACTGTTGGTACCGTCCTAGCGTAACGCCTTCCCCGGGACCAATCCGACGGCTCGCTCGGCGAGGCCCCGCCCCCGCCCTCCGGTAGGCGGCGCTACCGGCCCCACTCCGGACGGCCCGTCGCCCTTTCCGTCCCGGGCCCGCCCTGCTTAACTCCATCGGTTCCGGCTCTCGTCCCTGCCCTTGGCGGCCGCGCCGCCCCTCCTGCCCGGCTTACATAAACTGGCCTCTCACTCCTCTCTTGTCTTTGCTCCTTCCTTCCTGCTTCCAGTCCCTGCGAGCGGACTGGAGAGTTGCGGTTCCCCTAGGTCAAGTTCTGTTTGTGAGAAGTATTTTCCCTCCTCCTCTTGCCCTTTTCATTTACCTTGACTTCTTGGAGGTTCTGCCGTCTAAATGTAACCCCCTTGCCCGCCTTCCTTGGCCAGCCTTCCTGCGCCGAGCGCGAAGGGCTCTCCTCCGGACCAGAGCAGAGCTCCCTGCTGGGTACTTTGAGCAGCATTTAACAAAATTGTGGTTCGTTCACTGTAACGTTAGTGAGTCGTTTTACATCGGTCTCTTGCAATGGACCGTAAGCCCCATGAGGGCAGGTCCGTGCCATCTGGGTCACCAGTGCCAGGCTCCAGTGCGCCCAGCAGGCTCCTGATCAATGGTTTGAATAAAAGATTCTCCCTCCTCTTATGTTGTTTGTTTTCCGCTGACTTTACACAGAGCATCCGCTGTATCATTCATTTATTCACCGTAAACTAAGCTTGGACGTAATGTGCCTGACCGGGAAATACAATGCATGTTGCTCGATGAGATGTGTAATGGGGAAAGATTGAGCTGACGCTTTTTTCAGGCTATGCAGTTCATTTAAGCAGCAAACTGTAGTGGAAAGAACTCTTCCTTACTGGCTGTAGGATCCTGGCTGTGCCACTTACCATCTCTGATCATTGGTTTCCTTCTCTGGAAAATAGTACCTACTTCGCAGGATTGTTGTGAGGATTAAATTAGGAAATGTATGGGAAAAGTATTTGAAAAGTATTGTATAAGGTTATTATTATTCATGTGTGTTTATTGAGCACTTACTATCAAGAGATCCTAGAGAAGTAGTTGGGCTTGATGCGCACCCCAGATAGTGTGGTTAGGGAGGCAGCATTAATCACTGCAGAAAGCATTAATCCTGCAAAGAGTGTGCAGTCAAATGCAGAAAGTGTTGATCAGCCCTTTACTGGATGTAGCTGAAAAGGTTTGAGGTTCATTTTCTGACCAGGGAATACATAATTCTTGGGAAAATGAGCTGGATGATAATGAGAATCTACCTCCTTTCTCTACAGAGGAACATCGGTCTGCTTGCAGTCAGGTAATCTCCCTGAACCTTGTTCACACATCAGGAGATCGTAAAGCAAAAGGGTAAATCAACAGTTCCTCTAAGACACTTTACCCAGAAGGATTCTCCTTTCTTGCCTGTGACTCTGACAACGACAGCGAGGGCGAACACTCCAACTGTCACCGCGCAGGAGAAAGCAGCTAACCCTGCAGCCTCAGCTTCCTGGACAAATGATGTCATTTGTCTTTAAGGTCTTTCCGTGTGTGGGGGGAGGGGGGATTTCGTGCCTCTCTAAGCAACCCAGTCCAGTGCATAATTTCATATCCACATGCTGCAGGACCGACACAGTTCCTCCTCTTCTGTCCTCGGAGAAGGTGAGCCATGGGTCTGTGGCCTCTATGTCAAGGGCTTTTAGACAGAAAAATTGTTTTGTCCCCCAGTTTTCCCTCCACCAGGCCACATTACCCAGGCTCTCTGTGAATGTATGCACCACACCAACGCTGGGCCTGACACTCCATAATGTCAGTTTCTGCCCCCTACGCCTGTGATGGGTTATTTCCCAGCCAATCAACAGTCAACATATTCTAAGTATTGTGAGAGATGCAATCATTTAAGAAGGGAGCTTACATGACTAGCACACAGGAAGCAGCTGCAAGGAATACGGACACTTAAATTATGCAGCACAGACTGTGTGATCACTGGAAGAATCAGAGTCCTGGAAAATAGTATGGGCTGGTATTAGGGTGAGTCAAATCTGAGTGGGAGAAGAGAGGAACAATATGAGCCAAAGTTAGGCAGTGTTGTGTGAACTTATAACAGACATCCTCAGCAGATAATGCATGACAGGAGAATTGCTCATTCATTCATTCATTCATTCATACATTCATGAATGTCTACCAAGTGCCAGGTACTGAGCTAGACCCAGGCCATGCAGAGATAAAGAAAGCCTGGTCCCCATCCTTGAGAAGCTGGCAGAAGCCCCCATCAGGAAGGTATGAGCATTTTGTTGAGACTCCGGTGGTGTTCCTTTCACCACGTATTGGCGTTGTGGGTGTCTTTGTTTAATCTCTTTGCCTCTTTCTTCCCGGTCCCCAAACTGCAAGGCTCTTAAAGACACAGACTGTGGCTTTATTTCATCTTTACTTCCCACTTGTGGAGGGCCTCATGCAAAGTACCTCCTCCACACTGATGTGCTGACGCTCACTGGGCTGGAACCAGAGCAGGAATTCGACTGTCCCCCTCCAGCCAAGGGTGGAGGGCATCGTCCGTAGAGGAGTCTTGGCCGTAAGCCCCAGTGTGGAACCACACCAGAGGCTTGTCCACGGCCTGCAGAATGCAGTGGGAGCTTCTCTGCTTGGCATTGACAGTCCCAGTCCACCTTGCCAGGCCCATTTCTGCTGATTCTCTTATCCTCCACCCTTAAAGACTCACTTGCTGTCCTTTTCCTGCCCCCACTGTGTGATCACACTGATTCTTCCCCACCTGTAAAAATGTCGTGTATCTCTCAATGCCACTTGTTCATGAAGACTTCCATGGCCTTTCTGATGATACGTGCTTCCCTCGGCTTCTGAGACCAGCACTGTATTTGTACCTCTCTTATGGTGTGGTTTGTATTGAAGTCTTTGGGGATCTGTCGAACCCCATTCCCCTGGATTATAAAGCCTTCGACACCAAGGACAGTGTCGTATTGACATCTTTGCCTTCTGTAGTGCAAACGCTGTGCATGGTCCGTGGTAGACATGCAACGCTTGAAGGAGGAGTTGGAGGAGAACAGGTCCTGCAGAGGTGAGGAATCGAGCCCTGGAGGCTTATTTCTTGGTCCCTTCATCATTGTAAGTATTTTCCTTACACTGTTTCAGAATTTCCCAGTCTCTGCCAATTTGTCAAGCCCCAGGACTCCAGTAACAGTCCAGCAATCCCAAGGTATAAGGGGAGTATTGTCTCAAGGTGCCTGTGTACATGAAGGCAAAACACAGACACACACACACACAGTTTCCTTTAACCCAGGTAATCCGCCCACAATGAGGGATCCCCCTGAAACTAATTAAGTTAATTCTACGTCGAGCAAGTTGAGAGGAGCCCTAGGAAAGCTCATGCTGTTCCAGCTGCTAGGAGTCTGGGGAGAGGTTGGCAGGGCAAGTTGGTAAGTGAGGGAGCACGGGCGTCCCTTGGGTCCCCACCAGGCGCATGTGCACTGCCTCGGCTGTCAGCTGCTTCTGCATGTCTTTCCCAACAAGGCAAATCCCTTTCTTTCATTTTGCCCCCAGCTCTGTGGAGCTACTCGCAGCCCTCTCCTTGCTTATAGCAGTGGACCACCCACTTCACCCCTCCTGTGGCACCTCTGTCAATGCCATCTGAGCAAGCCACTCACGTCCCAGGGACAGCGTCATAAACCACATACACGCACAGGCACACCCAGCTTCTCGGCTGAGACGTTCAGCTGTGTATGCCGAAAGTGGTGAACATCAGTTCTTTTTTCACTCTAGTAATATTTTTTAAAAGAGCAGCCTTATTGAGATATAACTTATATACCATAAAACTTGGTTGCTTAAAGTGTACAATGCAACACCTTTTAGTACATTTACAGAGGTGAGCAACCATTCCCATAATCTAATTTTGGAACATTTTTATCACCACAAAAAGTAATATGGGCTATTTTCTCTTTTATTGTGGAAATATATTTATCTATTTAGTTTTGTTTTTAAAATCTGCACGTTAAAAGCAAAAAGAAACCTGCATGCATGGGAAAGCCAGACACCCAGAGTTAGTAAGAAGTGCAGAGGAGCCGGGTCTCAGAACCGCAAGCCACTGAACCGCCACATATGTTTCACCCCTCCGAAAGGTGCGCTCCGCTGCGGCATGTGCTCCAGGTCCGGGGCCACGTCTTTGATGTGTTCCCGTTTGTTGTGGCTTTCTCAGTGGGTTGGGCACAGACAATACTGCAAATTCCAGATTGCTAATTTCCACAATGATTTTTAATGTGGGATGGCACCACAGGCACATGGATATCTACTATACCTTTTTTTCTTTTTTTGGTGTGATGGAAGCTCTTTAATTTTTATTAACTCAATTTAATGCATGAAGTCCTTGCATTAATTACTACATAAAGTAATTGTGGCCACTCGGAAGTTCTCGGCTCCCCAGACTTCTTTGTTTGAGACCCTACCCAGAAGCCAGGGCACGTCCACCGTCCGTATTGGTAAGGCAGCAGATCTCTGAGCGTCTCTCCGGGCTGACCCAGGGTTGTGCCAGGGCTGTAATTCTCAACCTGGCTGCACAGGAGCTTTTTGGATATCTCAATGCCTGCCCCATCCTCAAATGTTTGAAGTTAAGTGTCTTGGCGTGTGGTCCTAGCAAGGGCATTTTTTGACAGCTCCCAATTTATTCTAATTTGCAACCAAGGCCGAGAACCCCTCTCCTACTAGCAGCTAAGCAAGGATCACGTTAATAGGTTGAATCATGTGAAATTGCCGTCCTTCTGGGGCAAAATCAGCTGAACATTGGCAGTTTCATATGATTCAATCTAATACACAGGCAACTGCTTTTCATTTTCAGGGGTTAGGTGGATTGGTCTTTGGGAAGACCTTCTACAGGAAACCACTCATTTCTCTCCAAACTCCCCTCC